GGTTGCGGGCACGGGGTCCGCTTGCCCCAGCCGCCACCGCCGCCGTTGTTCCAGCCACCGCCGTTGTTCCAGCCGCCGCCGCCGCCACCATTCCACTTGCCGCCGCTGTTGATGTTCCAGCCGCCGCCGCCGCCACCATTCCACTTGCCGCCGCCGTTCTGGTCGCAGTCGACGAGTTTACCAAAGGTCATGGCATCGGCGGGCGCTTCTTGGGCGGCGAACGCGACCGCCGCGAGAGCGAGGAAGCCTTGAATGTACACTGCCACCATGCTGCGTCTTCTTCTTCTTCTTGGTGGTGGTGCCAATTTGTAAATGCCATCTCGCTCCACTATCGACTTGGTCGATCACGAGAGCTGGTGCAGCGAACGCAGGAGGCAGATCGCACATGGCGGCGCTCAAAGAACCGGCATCTCAGGATCGACGACGCTGGATATCGCGTTCCGTCCTCGGTACATTTCAGCCCCAGCCGCTCGACGAACATACTATATACTGCCCGCCCACTCGTAGCGATTAATAACAGCGATCACTGGCGATCACCACCACAAAAGACTTTTTGCGATGGCACTGGCTGTGCCACGAAAAACACATGTTGTGTCCCGTATCTTGGCCTTCGCCATGCGACGACGGCACGGCACGCGCTGCTAGTGTCCATACCGTCCATGCGTACGGGACGGCAGTGCATCGAGTTGCTGCTTCGCCATGCTCTTTCGCAAAATCAAAGGGTTAAAATAAAAAAGCACTACCTAATCGAGACTAGGCGCCGTCGACGGCAGGGATGTAGTCGGCGAACCGGTCCGTCTTGGTCACGTGGATGTTGCCGTACGCAGAGGGCTGGTTGACATCGACGAGGTCGAGCGTCTTGAGTTGGAGGAGCTCAAAGAATAGCGCGGCGGCGGTCCGGCGGCTGCGCGTCGACTTGGCGAGCTGCTGGTACGACACCGTGTCCTGCAGAACATCCGATCAGCAATCCTTTTCCCATTCGATGCGATCACGTACGTGGTCTTGCATGGACGTGCGGAGCACCTTCATGACCTTGACCGTGTGCGGATGCCACTTGTGCGTCGCCGTCGACGGCACATCGACCGCCGGCGTCGCCTCGGGGTTCGAAGCGGGTGCCAACGACAGGTCGAGGTCCATCGGAAGACCGTCCTGGCCCACGAGCACGTCGTCCATGCTGCGTTCGTCGTCCATCTCGAGGCCGTGGTCCGCGTGCATGTCGTCTTCGTCGCCGGGGCCGCCAAACTCATAGTCTGCTACCTCCTTGGGCGCTTCCGGTGCCTGCTGAACGTCATCGACGTCTTCATCGACCTCGTTGTACGACACCGACGTCGCCTGTCGCCGCGTTCGCTCGATGGCTTCGTGCTCGCTCGTCTCGACCTTCTTCTCTTCGTCGTCCTTCTGCATGTCCGTGATGGGATCGGGCAGCTTGGCGTGCTTCATCGTGATCTTGAACATGCTCTGGAGCTGCGCGTTGAGACCGCTCGTCGACGGCTTCAGAAGCGCGTCGACGGGTTGCTGCTGGAGCTTCTGGCGCTTTGTGCCACGACCGTCACGGACGCGGACAATGTCCGAGACGTCCTTCAAGCCCTTCTTGATGACGGCCGACGAGAGCTCCGTCATCGAGTCCTGGCCGATCTTGCGCTTGCGCTGGCGCTTGGGCACGGCCTCAATCGGGTTCTCGGAGCCGTGCATCGCAAAATCGAGTAGCTGCGAGTCGGTCATCGGGCTGGCCGGCTCGACGTCGATGCCACCCGTGTCGAACTGGTCGTCGACAGGTTGCATGTCAATGTCGGGCATCGAGACGTCGTCGGCGACCATCTCGGGCGCATCGGGATCGCCCATCTCAATGTCGTCGGCCTTGTCGTCTTGGAACAGGTCGACGCCATCGTCGTCCTTCTGCAAGTTGTCGATGGATGCGTCGAGGTCGGCGCGGATGCTCAGACCACTCACGTCGGCCGCGTTACGACCGCGTTCAACGTCGCTGATGCCACTTGTGTCGAGCTACACGATGGGTTAGCCTTCAAAAGAGCGCACGAGCGGGCGTACGTCGTTGTTGGCTTGGTCTTCAACATCGAACGGCTGCCAGTCGCCGCCGCCAAACGAGTCGTTGTTGCCAAACGAATCTATACGACGCCGATGAGACGACGCTACAGAGGCGGGCACGACGCACCATGCGCGTTGAACGAGTCGTTGCTGTAGACGCTCGGGTTGCTCGTGTCTGCTAGCGTTATGTCTTGGCGCCGGGCCTGCGTCTGCGACGGCGTCGTCATCCATTCCGTGAGCGACGGCGCGGCCAGCGTCCTATACCGCAGCATGAGCACCTTGCGCTGCTACGATCCATTGGTTCGTACTGGATGTCGTAAGGCATTTGCGCGTCAAACTCGCCGAACGACGCGACGTTGATGGCGCTGAGATTCGCCGTCGTCTGCGCTTCCGGCAAGTCGACGACGCCGGGGCGGAAGGCCATCTTGATCTTCACGAGCGCTTCGCTGCAGTCCGTGAAGAGGTAGTTGACCTTGCGGTTGTAGATCCGCGTGACGCCGAGCAAGAGATGGCCGGAGACGCGGAGCGCCAGCGGAACGACGGGGTTGGCGATCGAGTCGGCGGCCTCGCCGACGTCCGCGGCCGAGATCGCGGCCTTGGTGAGCTTCTTGTCCCAGTGGGCGGCCAGCCAGACCTGCCCCAGCGGGCCCTTCTTGGCCAGGATGAGCTGCGAGTAGAACATGGGCGAAGTCCTCCTCCAGTATGAAAATAGCGGCAAAGTCTGGTAGTTTGACCTCCTTGCTTCGACCACCCTCCGCCACTTGGCCTTTGTATGGGGTCGTATCCGGATAATATTTGAATGGGGACGCGTCTCGCTTTACAAAACGCAAGCTACCAATCTCGCTTTCGAATTGAATTTTGGAACTTGGCAAATGCAGCAAAGCCTCCGGATACGAAGCGCGCGCAAACGAGTCCGAATACAATTACGCGCGCGATCTTCCATCTTGCCGACGAGAAGCCGCAGCAGCATGGAGCCGAGCCCAACAAGGAGGACGAGCGCAGTAGACGCCTTGGGGGGACGCATCCTCAGCGCCAACGAGGTCCTCCGGAGGAAGGTCGTCCTTCCCGCGCAGCGCTTCCTCCCGCCGGGCCGGCGAGCAACCCATCGACCGGACGAGGAAGCGACGCGGGACCAAGCGCCGCCGAGCGATGGAGACGCAGCGCAGCTTACGACGACCTTGGGCGCGCTCTTCTTCCTCAAGGACGAGCCAACGGCGATGGACGACCTGACGTTCGACTGGAGCCCGTTCGCCAACTCGTTCACGCTCCTCGCTCGACCTGCATGAGACGCCCAGGAATCGCAGCATGTTATCGCAGTATCTTCTCATGCAAGCTGCTGCTGCCATCTACTTCTTCGTCTTGGCAGGCGAGCTCGCGGTCGTCTCGGCGCCCTTGATGGCCGTGAACTGGACGCATTGGTACACGGAGCGCAGCATCGACGGCTGGTTGCACGTGTAGAAGCACTCGCGGCGCTCTTCGTGCTATGGTATGCAGTGTCCAGCGATGCATCGGAGAGAGGCGCGTACCGTAAACGTAAAAGTTGAGACCTTTGGCGACGTGCTTGATCTCCTCGTACGTGAGCTCGATCGACTGGGCGTAGCGGTCGTCGTCGTCGCCGTCGCCGTTCGCCCAGTGGTACAAAAGCGGCCCGAGGTTGATCCAGACGCCGCCCGGCTTGAGCATGCGCTGGATCGCTTCCATGTACTCGATGACGTTGGGCGCCGCGTCGATGAAGAAGCACGTCACGATGCAGTCCCACGTGTCTAGCGCCCATGAGTCTTTCGACTTGGATATGCGGTGGAACCTACCGACGTCGTCTGCGTACACTTCCAAGAACTCACCCGCGCACATGGAGAACGTGCGCTCATGGCCTAGTCCGTCGAGCATGTTAGTGTCCATCAAGCACTCGGAAGGACAGCATACCGCTGCTCACAGCATCGAGAAGCGAGGCAGGGGCAACGTCCGGGATCGTCACGGGGCGGCTAAAGTCTTCGAAGCGCATGACGTTGCACGGGTTGTCGATCCACGGATGCAGCGTGAACGCATGCGGGCTCGGTCGCGCTATCCCATCGCCTAAGACAATTCGCCGAGGGAAGACAAAGCAGTCGCACCAGTTCAAGATGAAGTTGCTCGTAAGAGCATTTTGGTACGAAAACTCGTTGCCTTCGGTGACGTAGCCCATCGCGACGATCTCGAGCGCTAGTCGCCGAGCGGCACCCGGCACGAGCACCCTTATGCTTGGACCTACGCATACACGCATGAGACCACGAGCTCGCAGAAGCATGTAGGTCCGACTTGTTGCTGGCGTTGACGGGCAGCACGCGCTTGAGCTCGTCCAGGATCGGCTTGTAGCACTGCTCGCGCTCCTCGGCGCCCTACAGGACATGCATAAAACGTCGAGCGTAGTGGTCGCATACCTCTTCGGCCCAGTCGCGGACGCATTGGTGCAGCGTGCTCTTGAGCTTCGAGTAGTGGCGGTACGGCGTCTTGAGCGGCTCCTTGAAGTTGATATGGTCGGGAAGGGCGACTTCGGGGCCGTAGCCCTTCTGCATTTCGCAAATGTCATCCCAGAACACTTGGTTCGTCTTGGCACAGCGCTACAAGACGTGTACATGAGCCATCCTGCCAGTCATCGTCGTCGTTGGCCGTACCATCATGGCCGCAATGTTGGCCTTCTTGGTCTCGTCCGGAAGCAGGCCCAGGTGCTTCTCGCTGAGGCGCTTGAGGTGCTGCTTCTTGCGGAAGGCCTCGCGCCAGACAAAGCCCTCGTACTCCTTCATCGAGAGGAGGACCTCGGTGTAGTGCTCGAGCTCTTCGCGGTCCATTGCGCTCCAACAACGCTCGACAAAAATGAAAAACCGAGTTATAACAAAGTGGATTCAAATCTAGCATGTTATAACAGTGGCTTGACGTTGCCTCGAGATCACACGCACCTTGTCCGCGGATCGCATTGCCATCGCAGCCAGCACCGTTCCTCAGCCGAGTGTACATGACGAAGAAAGTCTAATGTGAGTGTCCAGTCGAGCACGTTTGATCTACCCGATAGACGACTCACTGCAGCAACACCAACACCGTGAAGGTAACCAAGACAAGACGATAGCATTCAACGTACTATCAATCAATCGTTGAAATCAAATTCGCAAAAACTAACTCAAAGACTTCGCCACGTACTACTACATTTATTAGTAGACGTTATTAAAGGACCTGGTCAGCAGGGCCAACTGTCGAAGCTCGTGGCCCGACAAAAAGAGAACGGTGTTGAAAAAAGAATGCAATCTCTGCATGCCACGTCATCGTCAAGGCAGCGTTTGCACTAACCGCTAGCTGGAGCTCCAACGATGCGACCGGACGCGCTACGCATAGCAGGGATGAAGGATCGCTATTCTCACGCCTGCCTTGACGCCGCACCAGCAGCCTGAAGGGACCAGAAAGGAGGGCGCCCCTTCATGGCTGTCGCAGTTGCTCTAGTGCTTGAGAGCGATGGGTACCGGCGCATCGTGCTTGCCGAGGGGTTCTCCGCCGTCTCGTGATATCATCCACGGCAACTGATCTGGTACAACTATATCCCAGTACCATCAGAGGTCACGGGACTACTGCCCATTGGTTCGAGGCCAAGGCCACGTTCGAAGACCACCTGCAGCTCTGTACTCCCAACTGCCGCTCCATTGTTTGATTCCGCAGCCCTAGACTCAACTGCGGCAGGTGTCACTACAGGCTCACGAGGGCGCAGTTGGAAGCGTGAACCACCGTCGTCGACACGCACCTTCGAGAATGCTACCCTGGCAAGGGGCAAGGAGCAATCGTTGACGCCATCACAAACCTTGACGCATTCGCCACACATCCGATGTTCTTTCTCTCTGCATCTCTGCTGCGAAACGTCACAGTACAACCAACGTGAACGCGAGCCATCTTGCACGCGCTCGCTCCTATTGCGCAGTAGTAGATCACAACTAGCTCCGTTTGATCCTCTTCAACCATCGCACCGCTCCAGCACCTCAGTCTTTGAATCAAAAGATCGATTTTGGACATCGATGATTGGTGCAATGTGTCTCAGATGCGTAACCGCAAATCCAAATCACCGCGCGTTGAAGTCCACGAGTTCAGGATCATTTCAGAGGACATCGGTCGCTTGGCCATAGAACCTCGAGCGTCAACGCGCCTCCTGAAGCCCGACTTGTGGTATCTGAAGCAAACGACTGATCGAGACCATAGTGGTTCGCGACTTGCCGTGGAAGAGCACGATGTATGTGGCCAATGTCACGTACTCTCGAATTCTGGCGGTCGTTTACGCCGGTGTGATTGGCGTTGGAATGAGTCTAATGCAACATTCATTCCAACGGGTATTTGTTATTTCTACAGGGTGGGCCTCGAGCACTTTGAGCGTGCAAGTTGAGCAAGGCGGCATTATTTTTGTAATGTTAGTGTACTCTTTACGACCGGTTTTGCCTCGTGGCAATCCAAGTGACGACACTCGGCCAGAAGTGAAGGTGCGCGACGGCTTACACGGTGGTGAGGTTGTCGCTCGTTGTGAGGTTGTCGCGCAATCTCAATACCATTTTCAAGCGCTCACGACTCATAGTCTACATCACGTCTTGTGTAACGGTAGCGGCAACACGGGCGGACAACTCGTTGTGAGTTGCGCGTCCAAAAGGCGCATGCATCGTTGGTGCGTTTCTTTAGCCCGATATCCGGATGTCCGGATACATCGATTAGGCTATTTTTAGCTTTATTATCCGGATATCCGGATGGTTGCCATTATCCAAAACGCACCATGAGCTGCACGACGAACGCCAGCAACGTGCCTGAGGACCTGGACGTCTTCGACGACCATGGCGACGAGCTCGCGCATGCCCTTCCACCTGCGAGCATGGACGCGCTCGGCACGACCTGCCTTGGCGACAAGACCGAGCTCTGCTCGCACTGCGGCATGCCGGTCCGAGGCGAAGAGCCCCACGAAGGTACACCACGCGTCATATGAACCCATGCACTGAAGCTCTCGAGGTAGACGCTATCAGTGTCCCGCGACAGACATCGCAGTGGGTGGCAGCTCTCGTGCGTGGCATGTCCTCCGACAACATCGAAGACGAGCAGCCGGCCACGATCGTGGCACCGCTGGGGTGTAGCGCGATTCCCATGACCCCGCTCTTCCGCCCGGTATATTACCGGAAGAAGAAGGTCGTATGCTGCTTTCCACGATGCGTATTGCACCAGGCTTGTCCGGCACCGTACGGGCACTCGCACCGGACGGTGGCCGGCGTCTGCTCCGTCCCACTGTGCGCTACCTTCTTGCACGAGGACGCGCTCGGCGACACTCGGGCTTTCGGCTATTTCCACCGCTTCGGCTTGTCCATGGACGAAGCCTTCTCCTCGCTCTCGCCCGCGGAGCTGACGTTTTTCAGCAGCCAGTGGGTCGTCGGCGACGTCGAGCACCATGGCGGCACGAAGACCTCGGTCCTCTTCGGTGGATTTTTCAAGGACGAGGTTCTCTGGCGCCTTCCCCACGACTTTGCGTACCGCGGCAACACGCAAGGCGTTGTGTACACGTTCCGTGTGCTCCTCTACACCAAGGTCGGCGACCTCTACGAGCTGGTGGCGTACCAAGACTCGCCCGAGTTTGCGGTGCGCAACAGCAAACGCAAGCCTACAGCGACACTGGCCGAGAAGAACCCCAAGCGTAGCATTGGCAACGCTGTGACCTCGGCCTGAATGTCTGAACGTGCGACTGACGCCAACATGCATGTCATACTAGTACACGAACTTCTATGTTAACGAATCCAATCTTTTCGGTGAGACTTAGTTGATATAGAGCACATACGTTGCGCTACGTCTGCATGTGTGGGAGTGGGTTTGCTGACACATGCACCACCTTGTTTGTTGAGTGGACCACTTGGACGTTGGAGGCAAAGCCCGAGACGCTACCGCTCCGGAAGGCACGCACATGAGTCTTTGTAAAACCTACATCTTCCTTGGCAATCACCGCGTCAACAGAAAGAGTAGAGTGAGTACCTAATTCGACGCATTTGGCAGCGAGGATCGCCGTCTCGGTCACTGAAAGGGCCAAATGGCGCGCCGCATCCAGCTCTACGAGCCTGTCGTGAGATTTAAAAAACGCGCCACAGCGGTGCACCGATGGCCGCGTGGTTCTGCGGCAGAAACCGCACGCGGAGGTTCTCGTGTGGCGCCAGCCGCAAGAACGACCGGACAAAAGCCTCCGCAGCCGCGACACGCTGGAGGTGGTCCTTTGCATCTCTATATGAGGACGACGTTGGTCCCGAGACGCAGAGATGTACCGCTGTGGCAGTGACGCCAAACGCGAGGCGCGACCGAAGACATGGCGACGCAGCAAAGTTCCAATTGAGCAAACCTCGTTCGTTGGCGAGCTAGACAGGTCATCGTTGGCATCTGCGCATGGACGAGTGCGACGATGATGATACGTACTGCGCGGACGTCACTCTTCGTAAGGTCTTGGAGCGGGCTCACGACCTGAAACTCGGAGGCGGCGACGAGGCCTACAGCGCCACGTATATCAGCCATCCATCCAGTCGTCAGCCCAAGGACGCACCGAGTCGAGTCGGGTCGAGCTTGTCGTCCGCATTCGTGCCGTTGAAAAGCCGCGGTCGACCACTGCCCCGGTGTCTACGACACAAGATCGCGGTGAAAGGACGTTCATGCGAAGCGGAGCACGAACGTCGTGTGCACATGCGTCGCCACGTCGTTGAGCGTCGTGTACAAGTTGGTCTTGCAGTAGTAGCAGCTATGAGTACGATGTGAATCGAGTGGCCCGCCCTGTGAAGCCTACCTCTGGCCTTTGTTTTCAATGTAGAGCGGATCGGCGCCTTCGGTCGTCGGCGTCTCCCATAGCGGAATGCCAATGTCCGTGGCCACCTTGCGTGCGAGTGCGAGCTGCTCGGAGGGCAGCGCCGCCGAGACGCCGAGGCAGGCGACGCTGTTAGTCGGAAATGCCTCATGAACAAGCGCAGCGACGACGGACGAGTCGACGCCGCCCGAGAAGGCAACTACGTTGAGCGTCTTGGGCGACCCGAGCGCGGTCACGTGCCGGACCATGGCCGACCACATGCTGCAAATCTTTTTTTTGCCAATCAAACGTGCCAGATTAAACTCCACCAATCAAGCACCAGGATTTCAAATGGATGCGTCCGATTGGTTGAAAAAGGAGCCACGAGGAACATGTTTCGCAACGAGCTGGTGGGTTCAATCCAGCTGCGCGCATGCTCAACACCGGCCAATTCAGCATCGAAGCAGGTGGTACAGATTCCATCGCCGATTGTAGCTCCCATGCGTAGCGCCGTCTTTGGCGCTTGGCGCACTGGTTTCAACGCAGAAAGGTTCGTTGGAAGTGCGTCGCATATTTGTACGAGGATTGCAGCGCGAGGACGCTTGGCCTTCTCGGCCAGCGCCGTCGGGCCGGCCATTCATGCTTACGGTGGTTGTTGCGCATCGCAGATGCGGGTGAATCTTGGTGCGCCACAAGCACGCAGAGTTCACCGACGGTGGCGTACAGCAGGACACGACAGTGTATCGCTAGGCGGGCTAGCGACAAAAGGAAGTCGCATATTATATTGCCGCCAAGGTCCCGGCAGTCGTACCGTTCTCGAGCCGCTGGCCACGAGGCTGCATCGATATTTTTGCTCGTACTACTAGTACGTACATAGCAGCAAAAGGCAGTCGTGGAGAGGCTGTCTAGCCAGTGCGATGGAGAAACATCGACAATGCTTTTACCATTTCCACATCCTTTCCCTTGTAAAACCATGTCAGCTCGATGCCCATTTACGAAATTCTCGGGTCGAGCGCCGTAGTCCGAGTCCAAGGACAATTGTCGTGGCCGTCCTTGGACCAGGTCGCAGGGAGATGCCGAAAGGTTACTGCGGCCGATTCGGCTGCTCGCCTCCGCCCGAGGTGCCATCTTTTCGTTTGTGACTAGGTGTAGTGTGATCCAGGTCAAGGCAAGCGGCGCACCATGTCGACGCGACACGAACACATGGTTGAGCATCGTGGCACCATAGAGTGCATCAACCCACGGCCATACAACGGCCACGTCGTCTTGCAGTCGCAGTCTTGCAGACGGCGATCGGAGCAGCGCCAGCTTGAACCGGATCGCTCGACGCAAGTCGAGAAAGTGCTTGTGGCCGTGTCGTGGATGGGACGAAGTTGTGGCAGCGTGGTCACAGAAGTCGACACCTCACGCACGTCTGGCGGACGCGCACGTCTGCACGCCGCTTGAACGTCTGCTCCGCTTACGTCGATCGAGCCCATTTGGCGGCGACTAGCAGCGATAGATGCAATCGAAACCCACTCACTAAGTGGCATTGGCGCGATCCAAATTGCTGATTCGCGTCACGTCCAAGCGGCCCAGCTCGCAGCTACGTGCACCTCTTTTGCTCTACGAGATGGATACACGCTAGGATCGCAACACGAACGCGGTTTTATCGTCGACGGACGGTTTACAAAGCACTGACGCGCATGAGGTCGCGGCTCATGTTCTTGTGGTGCGACTCGTTGGTGCCGCCGCCAATCTCGAGCAGCTTCGAGTCACGCCAGAGACGCTCAACGTTGTACTCGCCGACGTAGCCGTAGCCGCCGAGCGTCTGGATCGCGCGGTCCGCCACCGTCTACACACACAAAACTTGGTGTGGCAACGGTGATGCTGCGCACAAGCCTACCTTGGCCATGTCACCGCAGTAGAGCTTGACGCCGTCCGTATCAACGCGGTTGCCAACGGCATCGAGCTTCATGAGGCTAAACACGAGATGAGCACGCCTGAAAAATGCAGAAAAAAAGTCGTACCGCGCCGTGTTGTACGTGTAGGCGCGGCCAGCCATGTACTCGGCGTACGACTTGGCAATGTTGGCCTGGATCTGGCCGTAGTAGTTGAGCGGCTTCCCGAACGCGACGCGGTCCTTGGCGTACGCGTTCATGACCTCGATCGACCGGCGCGCAATGCCCAAGCTCATGGCCGCGAGCGTCACACGTTCGATTTCGAGGTTGCGCATCATGCAGATGACGGCGCTGCCTTCCTTGCCAATCTACAAGAACAGTCCATGAGCCTTGGTGGTCAGCAAGATCAAAGCGCACCAGGTTGGCAGCGGGAACGCGGCAGTTTTCAAAGACGAGCTCGGCCGTCATGGACGCGCGCATACCGCACTTGTCCTT